TTTCGACGTCGAATAGCTCCTCCAAAAATCCTCAGCATCACTCCCTTCATATGCACACCATCACTGTCACGATTCTCATGAATTAGCGTATTATTAATGGCGAAACAACACTAAATCAGACTTAGCTAACAGAGTTTGCAATTATGATAAACCTGCTTCCAGGAATATTAATCCCACTTTTCAGGCGATAATCATGATCTACGATAATATTCAATTTTTGGTTTAACTATTATTTAACCAAAATTAAATATACTAATATTCAATGTTGTTTCAACCTTCCAATACAATCAGCAATTAGTACAAAAATACATATTCAGCTGCCTTTAAATATGTTGCCTAACTTATCTAAACTATAAATATCTTAACTTCAACGAGTTCATACGGCGTTCCTGACATTTGAAAGTGAGAAAATTATCTATTATTAACACAAAATAAACTTAAATATAAAACTCCGTGTAAGAGGTGCTTATGAATTAGTAAGACAACAGATGTAGGAGAGCGGGGGACAGGAAGGGCCAGGAGAGAGGATGGTGAGTATAAAGTCAGACGCGGACTGGACACCACCATCACTCACCATCCAACTACAGACTCAACATGGCTTTTGTAGTTCGTACCTTAAACTTACCATGACTTGTGTCCACTTATGTATAATTTGTTTCTGATTAATGACTGGAATGTTTTTTTAATGTATTCGAACACATTAATATCATTATTTAAAATTTCTTAAATTAGACTAAAGAAAACTACTAGTAATTATTTTTTTTAATTAATATAACAATTATAACCAATTAAATCACTCAAACATTAAACTGAAACCTAATAAATATTTCGTACTTCTTTCGCCAAATTATAATAAGTGCATCTAAAACTCTGGTCTCCTGCAGGCGGCGCTGATGGTGGTGGTGTTGGGTGTAGCTCTCGCTGCACCCTCCGACCCCTACCGTGTTCAACATGTCCATAGTTCTGGATACAAGGTAATGTCCTTATTATTTGACCTCTTGTTTGTAATTTTAAACAATTCTTCGTCTAAATAATTGGAATTAATCTCTTTCTCTTCCACGTATGTATTTATTAAACACACTTTTTGAAAACATGTTAAAAACTGAGCATCATAAATGTGATACATTACTGCAGCAGCCGGGGATGCCGCACGACTTCCAGTACAATGTTAAGGACGACTACTCCGGCACTAACTTCGGCCACAGTGAGAACTCCGACGGCAACACTGTCCGTGGCTCCTACAATGTCGATCTTCCCGATGGACGCAAACAGACGGTATGTGCTTCTAAAGTGTGATAAAATCAGTTCCATAATAATTTATCAATCAAATTTCGAATTTTAAAAATAAATTAGTTTTCAGTACTATCTAATTTCCAAATGAGTTTAAGATATAGATTTTGTATTTTTGATAATGGTACATACCCAACCTCGAATATACAAAAATCCATATTAATGTTGGCATTTGTCTTAAGATTTAAAATTGATATGAAATCTTAGCCTTTATTTCTTAAAGTTCACAGAAATGTAATTTAAACTTAGCTAAGCAAAAACAATACATATATGTATATATATATATATATATATATATTAGTATATTTTGGTAGCAGTCTTTTCTGTAGACATATATTATTAAATATGACCGAAAAAGTAAGATTAATAATTCTAACACGAATTTTCTCAATCTTTCGTACATTACGCTTCACTGTTGGAGGTAAATCAAAAATCACTTCTCCAAAATTCATTTTTATTTCTAGTCTGACGCGACACGGGCGCGTTTCGTAAAACTTATTACATTTTCAAAGACTTCACAAATACACAACTGATTAGAACTTGCGTTTCCCTGATTTTATATCTACATTTGAGTGAGGTGGGAAGGGTGATGTGGCATTACATTTGAGTGAGGTGGGAAGGGTGATGTGGCATTAACACAAGACAGAACACTAGGGGATATTAATAGGGTATTAAAAGTATCAACACAAGACAGAACAGAAACAATGGGTATTGAATAGAAGTGTTTGTAGAAAGCCTATTGGTCCATATTTCTTGATGCTTCTATATTGGAGCGGAGTCTTGAGGTGGGTAGAATATAGTTGTGCAATAATTGGCTGTTGATTGCTGGTGTTGACTTCTTGATGTGTAGTGCCTCGCAAACGTCAAGCCGCCTGCTATCGCTGTATCTATCGATGATTTCTGTGTTGTTTACTAGGATTTCTCTGGCGATGGTTTGGTTATGGGAAGAGATTATATGTTCCTTAATGGAGCCCTGTTGTTTATGCATCGTTAAACGCCTAGAAAGAGATGTTGTTGTCTTGCCTATATACTGGGTTTTTTGGAGCTTACAGTCCCCAAGTGGGCATTTGAAGGCATAGACGACGTTAGTCTCTTTTAAAGCGTTCTGTTTTGTGTCTGGAGAGTTTCTCATGAGTAGGCTGGCCGTTTTTCTGGTTTTATAGTAAATCGTCAGTTGTATAATCTGATTTTTGTCTGTAGGGATAACGTTTCTATTAACAATATCTTTCAGGACCCTTTCCTCTGTTTTATGAGCTGTGGAAAAGAAGTTCCTGTAAAATAGTCTAATAGGGGGTATAGGTGTTGTGTTAGTTGTCTCTTCGGAGGTTGCATGGCTTTTCACTTTCCTTCTTATGATGTCTTCGATGAAACCATTGGAGAAGCCGTTATTGACTAGGACCTGCCTTACCCTACAGAGTTCTTCGTCGACTTGCTTCCATTCTGAGCTGTGGCTGAGAGCACGGTCGACGTATGCGTTAACAACACTCCTCTTGTACCTGTCAGGGCAGTCGCTGTTGGCATTTAGGCACATTCCTATGTTTGTTTCCTTTGTGTAGACTGCAGTGTGGAAACCTCCGCCCTTTTCCATGACTGTTACATCTAGAAAAGGCAGCTTCCCATCCTTTTCCGTCTCGTAAGTGAAAGTATTCTTTTCTACAAATTTGTTTAATATATAATATGAAGATGTACTTATCTCCATATGTATTTTAAGGCATATGTAAGTTCTTCCCAACTTTAAGGATTTAAAAACAGAACTCAATTATCTTGGGTGCTTAATTAATTAAGTTCTAAAGGTCAATTGATGTTAATTAAAGTGTGGTTTTGAGGTCCATTATTCATATATTTACGTTTGTCGCAGCCAAGGGTTAAAACAAATATATTTTTGCTAATCATTACATAATGTTCTCTTTCTTAATAATTAACATTCTGCATACATTGGCAGGTGAATTACGAGGCTGACCACAACAAGGGTTTCACAGCTGATGTTCAGTACACCGGAGAGGCTCATCATCCCCATAATTACAGATCTCCTGTCTACTACAAGCAACAACCTTCATACCACCACTAGTCCTCAAACAACATGCAGATAACAGCAATAAACATCTTACCCACCGGAATCCACTTATGAATGTTGTTGCTCATTTGTTATGTTTTGAAAAGAATTTACTCACTGTTATGTTGTTAGAATGAATAAACTCATGCAAGTTTAATATTTCTTTCTATATGTTAAAAGTAACTTACCAATTTAACAAAATTCGGTAACGGAAAATGTGAAAATGTCTTCGTAGTATTGTCGCTTTATATCTTAAATTGGAATGACAATTGCTAATTTAGGCTCAGCTTATTTCCAGAAACAATTGACTGATAAAGGGTTTAAACGGTAAAGTAAACATGACCAAATTATAGTCACGTTCGAACAATAACAAATTATATTATTAAAAACTAATGACAATTATTATCTCCATGACACAGGTATGTCTTTTTATTAATTTATGAAGTTAAAGTCGATCAAAGGAACAATTCATAGATTTCAGTAATCCTAATTATATAAATTTTACCCCTAAAAGTAAAGTTATCGCCATATGTTGATCCACCGGAAAAGGTGGTTATCATTCATTACTTTCAGTTAATTTCGCCCGTTTTTTATACAAATAATGGTATGAATGGTTATAATACATCTGTATGGATGTAAGAAAGTAACCATGATCTATGACAAAGTTTCTGCCATCGTTTATGATTACTATGCGATAAGATTATCGTGTACCAGTCGCCTGTGATTATCAAGTAACATATTAGTCTTTAAATCTATTTCTATATAATATTACGAGAGAGAAGTGTAACAAAAGAATGAGATGCAAGACACTTCCTTTTGAACGTTGCCAAAAAACATATTTACTTACAAAATAGGTGAACATAATATGCTGTAGGCATTGTGAGAAATACTGTATTTATTCCACAAAATGAGTAACTACACTGAAATCGCGAACTAGTAAACTATCTAACTTGATCATCACAACCCCCTTCCCCAACATGACGAGTCAGCAAAATTCCATTCCCAAGAGTTTACAGACTAAAGTGACTTCACGGCCGGCACCCTTTCCACATATATGCAACCCCCACAAAAAGGGCCTTTTCATTAATTAGTTTAATATTTTATTTAATTTTGAAAACAATGTATTATTAATATTACATGTCATACAGTGCCACCATTTGTAACAGTAGCACGCCAATTGTTGTATGTAAATGCAATGATAATTAACCTGTAAACTGTTATATTTAAAAAATATATAATGTTAATATCAAATGGACAATCATCAGTCAGAAGTTATACATTTTAAATAATTATTTGAGTTGTAACTGAAGTATATACATATTGCCTTTAATTAAAAAAATATATATATATAATTTCTGATTTTTCATTTAAGCAAGTTTGTATTTAGTTATAGATGCACACCACTAGCGAGTTTCCTAACCTATACAAGTACAAACTTGAGGATAAATTTGATAAAGTTAAACTTCTGCAGCATCGGTGTTACCTAATGCCAGTAGGTAATTATCTCTCATGAGATTGGCTCCCAATTGGTCCTCCTCCCACAGTGCTTGCCATCCACCTACTTCCGACAAGGTCGACCTTCACGATCACTATATAAAGCTTTACCATCGTACTCTCCACATCACTCACTCCTCCGCCTCTACAACAAGTAATCAATATGATAGCGAAGGTAACGTATCTCACTGATGATTACGTACATATTTGAACATAATATTATGAACCTAAAGGCCTAGAAATTTACTGTTATAACTCTATATAATTGCGGGACACAATTTACAACTATATTTCTGTTTAATCCAAGAACACGAGGGTAATTAATTTGTGTTGCCCTCAGTTCAGTGTGTTGCTGCTGGTGGTGGTGGTGGTGGGGGAGGCTGTCGCTGAAGACTACGATCGCTACTCCCCTCCAGCACATCACTCACGCTACGAACAGGTAACTGAAAACTCTCATGTTATCACCGCATAAAATTCAAGCGGTGTTACACAAAAATATATAACATGAACAATAATAAAGTAATCCCCAATTATATTCACATTTAACACTTGTGAAAAACAATTTACTTCAGGAGGACAGGCCATACAACTTCCAGTATGACGTCAAGGACGACTACTCCGGCAATGACTTTGGACAAAACGAACAGTCTGATGGAGACACTGTCTCAGGCTCCTACACCGTCCAGCTCCCAGACGGCCGCAAACAGACGGTAAGATCACTATTACTTTAATAAGTAATTATAACCAAAGTATAATAAGCAAAAAAATGCATTAGCCCATGCACTGATATCATATTTTTATTTCTGATACTGTCCTATAATTCAATATTTGCAAAATGTATGTTATTGAACGAAATAATGAATTACCTAACAAAATTATTTTATGATTATAATCATAAAGCCTAATTCTAAACATTAAGAATTATCTAACAGGTGAACTACGTTGCCAAGGACGACTACGGGTATCAGGCGGAGGTAAAATATGAGGGCGAAGCCCAGTACCCCCACGAGTACGGTCCCCCCATCACCTTCAAGCCCCAGTATCAGCCATCATATTATCCACAGCCTTCATACCAGCCCCAGCCCTCATACCAGCCCCAGCCCTCATACCAGCCCCAGCCCTCATACCAGCCCCAGCCCTCATACAAGCCCCAGCCCTCATACAAGCCCCAGCCCTCATACAAGCCCCAGCCCTCATACAAGCCCCAGCCCTCATACAAACCTCAGACCTCATACCAGCCCCAGCCCTCATACCAGCCCCAGCCCTCATACCATCCCCAGCCCTCATACCAGCCCCAGCCCTCATACCAGCCCCAGCCCTCATACCAACCCCAGCTTTCATACGAGACCCAGCACTCATACGAGTCCCAGCACTCATATGAGTCCCAGCAGTCATACGAGTCCCAGCACTCATACGAGGCTAAGGAACATTATGAATAGAAATTGCATCTAAAGAAGCTGTTTTAAAAGCTAAAGAAACTTTGTAACTAAGGTCTTCGTGTAATTCAAATAAAGTTTCGAGAGTAATGACGATCTCTATAACCTGTAAATGGTAGCATCCTTATTAGCAATTCACGATAAATCCAAGATATGTTATATACAGGCAAAGTCAGTAGATCATCCAAAATTTGCCATATGAACTTCGGCATGGAATATCATACCGACGAGATATAACAAACGAATGTCTTACTGAAGAAAATAAAACACCGTAACACGGGCAATATATAGAATTCATCAGTAAATCACATTATGTAGTGTATACACCATAAAGAGCCAGTCATATGAGAATGACTTAAGGATATACCTGCTTGATGGGGCTCTGAGAGTTCTTCTACTCCCCAAGCCCGGCCCGAGGCCAGGCTTGGGGCCGGGTCCAACTTACACAAGACATTTTCTAATTATTCGATTTATCTTGAATTGTGTGAAAATTTCATGACTATGAAAGGATAAACATTTTTAACACGAGTTTCGTCGAACTTCCAGTTGGCTGTTTAACTTGCCGAAAATAAAAAAAAAATAAAAGATTCATGCATTTCCCTTCTTCCCCGCTGGACGTGTGACTGTCATCGTAATCGTAAGGAAAATGGCTGCCAGAGTGAGAGCACAATGTATATTAATACCCGACCTTTCAAAATTATGAAGACAAAACCACACATCAGAAGATGAAGTAACAACGACGTTTCAGTCCGTCCTGGACTGTTATCAAGTCGTGTGGAAGTATCAAGAGTAAAGTCAGTCCTCACTTACAACTTGGTAATGGTCCAGGACAGACCGGAACGTCGTCATCTCTTCCTCTTCTGATGTGTGGTTTGGTCATCATATTTTCAGCCCCGTTATTGTGACTCATCGTCTTTCAAAATAGTTTTATTTTTGCTATGTCTAAAAGGAAATTAAATATCAGATGCCTATAAGAAATCATGTTTTAGACAAGTAGGTTTTAATAACAATAATTAAATGCAATAAAAAGAATGATTTGCTACTTCTACTCATAGAAGCACCTCCCAAACTTACTACATTCAACTTTTTAAACATATTCATTATTACCTTGTCCTTTATTGTCGAACTGCGTTTCCAAAATTCTCAGTCCTACACCCTTCATATACACGCCATAACTCCCACGATTCCCATGTATTAGTGTATTACTAAAGGCAAACTACACTAAAATAGACTTGAGTTAGCAGTAATAACAATAAAGATAAACCTGCTCCCAGGAACTTTAATCCCTCATTTCAGGCGATAATCATGATCTTCGCGGACTTTTAGTTTATTATGCTACCAATATTTAAATTAACTTATATTCAATGTTGAATTAACCTTCCAGTAAATTGGCAATTAGTTCAAAAATACATTTTCAGCTGCTATATTATATGTATACTTGTGAGCATATTATCCCTAAAGGATTATTCATGTGATGAACTATCTTAACTTCAACGAGTTCCTGCTGCTTCATGAAATATGAAAGCGAGAAAATGATCTATTATTAAGAGAGGATGGTGAGTATAAAGCCAGAGGCGGCCCGGACACCACCATCACTCACCTTCAAGCCCCAGTACCAGCCATCATACTTTCCCCAGAACTCCAACAACACACTCAACATGGATTTCGTGGCTTGTACTTTAAACTTATCATGACTTGTGTCCTCTTATGTGAAAAGATTGGAAATAACTTATATGTAACAACACATCAGTAACATTATAAATATTTATTTAATTAGTGAAAGAAAACTACTTGTAATTAATGTTTGAGTTAATATACGAATTATAGCTAATGAAATGAATACAACATGCTGAAAATCAAACCTGATATTTCGTTATGTACATTCTCTATGACGTGTTTTCTTATAATAAGCGCATCTTAAGACTCCAGGGGCCAGATTCATGAAAGCACTTACGCACGTGTACATCTTTCCTCAATCTTTGACGGCTTTAGTTACATTTATTAAACAGTTTACGAGCATGAAAACTTCCCGTTCAATTGTTGTTATTGTTATAAAGAGCCTCCTGGTGGTTCGGAGCTCATTAACTGTTTAATAATGGGAAACAAAGCCGCCAAACATTGAGAAAAGATGTACAGGTTCGTAAGTGTTTGCGTAAGGGCTTTCGTGAATCTGACCCCTGGTCTCCTGCAGGTGACGCTGATGGTGTTGGGTGTAGCTCTCGCTGCCCCCTCCGACCCCTACAGTGTTCAACCTGTCCACAGTTTGGGATACAAGGTAATGTTCTTGTTACCTGACCAGGATTGTTATAATTTTAAACAACTGTTAGGCTACATAAGTGAAAAATAATTAGTTCGCAAATACAAATATAAAATAAAAATTTTGCAAAACAAGTCTATAATAAGAGCATTATACATGTGGTATACTACTGCAGCAGCCGGGTATGCCGAACGACTTCCAGTACAGTGTTAGGGACGACTACTCTGGCACCAACTTCGGCCACAGTGAGAACCTACAGTGAGCTCCTACAGTGTCGACCTTCCCGACGGACGCAAGCAGACGGTATGTGCTTTTAACAGTGTGATAAAATTAATTGCATAAATAGTTATTCACTCAAATGTCGATTTTTTAAATATATATTAGTTCCTTGTCGTTTCTAATTTCCAATTGAGTTTAAGATACATTATTATTTTTATAATAGTGCATGCTCAACCTTGAATATACAAAAATTCAAATTAAGTAAATATTGGCCTCAGTCTCTTCATCTAAAATTGATATGAAATGTTGTCCATGTTTTTTAAAATACACATAAATGTAAACTTAGGTAAAAATTAAAATAAACCATTTGTCCAACTAATGTTTACGATAAATATTCCCAGGCACGATGAGGCCACTATCACCAAAATACTTCTAACTAACTTTTATGTATACCTTTCTTCGTATTATATATTATTAGTCAGATATGTAAGTTCTTCCAAATTTTGAGGATTTAAAAAAGAATTCAATTATCTTGGGTCCTTAAATTTTATAGGTCAATTTATCTTAATTGCAATATAGTTCTGTGATACATTATTCATCAATTGACATTTGTTGCATCCAAGAGTTAAAACAAATATATTTCTGCTCAGTCATTACATAATGTTCTCTTTCTTAATAATTAACATTCTGCATATATTGGCAGGTTAATTACGAGGCTGACCACAACAAGGGTTTCACAACTGATGTTCATTACACCGGTGAATCTCACCATCCCCACCATTACAGCCTGTCAACTACAAGCTACGACCTTCATACCACCACTAGTCCTCAAACACAACCACATACCTGCCATAAACATCTTACCCACCGGAATCCACTTATTAATGTTGTTGTTCATTTGTTATGTTTTGAAAAGACTTTATTCGCAATATTATGTTGTTAGACTGAATAAACTCATGCAGGTTAAATATTTCTTTCTATATGTTCAAAGGAGTTTGCTAAGTTAACAAAATTCGGTAAAGGAAAAGGTGAACATGTCTTTTTAGTATTTACGCTTTATATAGTATATTGGAATAACAATAGCTAATATGGGCTCAGATTATTTACAGAAACAATTGACTGATAAAGGGTTTTAGGGTAAAGTAAACATGACCAAATTATAGACACGTTCCAACAATAACACATTATATTATTGCAAACTAGTGACAATTGTTATCTCCATGACACAGGTATTGTTTGGTTGAAAATGTATTAAGTTGAAGTCGAGTAAACGAACAGCCCATACATTTCAATATTTTCAATTATATCAAATTTAGCCCTAAAATTTATCGTCGTATGTTGATCCACCGGATAACGCTGTTATCACTCATTATTTTCGCCCAGTTTTTAAATAAATTATGTAAGTATGGGTATAATACATCTCTATGAATATTCGAAAGTAACCATGACTCATGACAAATTTTCTGCCGTCGTTTTTTATTACTATGCGATTAGATTAACGTGTACCAGTCGGCTGCGATTATCATGTGACACATTAGTCTTTGAATCTATTTGTCAATGACATTACTAGAGTGAACTGCAGCAAAAGAATGGGTTGCACGACACTTTCTTTGAACTTTGCCAAAAACATATTTATTTACAAAATAAGTGAATATTTTAGGCATTGTGAGGAATACTGTAGTTATGCCTCAAAACGCCTAACTACACTGATATCGCGAACTAGTAAACTAACTCGATAACCCCCCCCTCCCCCAACATGAGGAGCCAGTAAAACTCCATTGCCAAGAATTCGCAGACTTAATTGACTTCCCGCCCGGCACCCTCTCGACTCTGAGGCAAAGTGAAACTGACACCAGTAATTCCATCTATCATCATACTATCATGCAAGAGGAGCCACAGACCTATGGTTCATCCGATAAAATCAGCAGACTTCTCGATGTTACTACTGCTCTGCTTAGACTCGGTTACAAGTATCTCTGGGAATTCTATTTATCTGCCGATGTAGAACTAAACAAATATTAACTGTCAACAAAATTATTCGCACACCCTCCGTCACTTTGTGATGGAGTGCGAAAAGATACGTGAATTCAGAGACAATTCTATAACCAATGTTACAACGATTTGTATATATTTCATTCAAAATGATCCGCTACCAAAAATTTTAGCCAAATATCCCCAGTTTGCTAACTGTAGGTAGTAACTGAGTGATTGTAACCTATCCACCGCTGCCCACTGGATGGGGGGCGGTGTGCAGGACAAACATATCAATTGTGACACTAGCTCTCCACATATGTCAGTTGCTTAATTTAGAAATTGTACTTAAGGTCGATCTCGAACCCATTGTTAATGTGACGACTTATACTGAATTTTGTAACTATCTCATCAAGATTGTAACTTGCTTAGATATATGAATTGTGGAGTTCAGTCCCTGAGCCCATTATGTGCCTCTGTAACCCTTTCCACTACCGCCCACAAGATGGGTATGGGGTGCATAATAAATGAACTAAACTAAACTAACCCTCTCGAC